ATATGAGAGAGAGAGAGAGAGACAGGTGGAAATGCAGACGGGTGCGTACGCGGAGGGGGTAACGGAGCAAATGAGGGAGGGGATAGCGTGAGCAGGGGGAACCAAAGGAGATGGAGAGAATGACGGGGGGAAGCAGTGAGAGAGGGATATCTTCAGTCGCTCATAATCAACACACAGTTGCATTAACCTCATCTTGAATACTTCGTCACTCAATCACTCAGTATAGAACCCAACATTCTGTTTTTGTTTTCTTGCTTTTGTTCAATTGTCTTCGCTTTTCACCTTTTCTACAAAATAGTGGCCAGGTGCAAGTGTAGTGGTTCTTCGAGCCTCCATCCAGCGTAGAACACGCGTAGAACCCACGAAATCTCACATGTCATCTACACCTTCGTTAAAAGTGATCAAATACTTCTTGAGCGGCTGTGCTCTTTTGCGTATTGACGTTCTCATCCTTGGTTTTGTCGTTGTTCTTCTGCGTCTATCTGCCTTTCCTTGCTTATGATGTCTTCGCGTCAGTCAAGTTATATGTGCGTATGCATGCAATGCGAAAACCTTTGTATAGCTTTGCCTCGTGTGTTGGTAGAGGGAGATATACGATCACTGCCCCGTATTTACATGGGAGATTTATTCTAACTGTAGAGGTCATTTGTTGGGACGCCGTACGTATGGTGTGATACTTAAAAGTTGTATATACAGTTTAGACACTATGTGTACGTTAAATATTATATGCATACATATCTTCCATTGCGTTCTACAGGAACATCGCGGTATATGCGGATAATCCAGGTGGTGGAGACCGCAAAGATTCAGAGCCCGGAGGACTACGAAGACATTTACGAAGACGTGAAGGAAGGTTGCAGCAAGTTCGGGGAGGTAACTGGAGGGGTCATTATAACACCCGACAACCGTGGTAGCTCCCCCTACCTCTTGTGCGATGTTTTGTTTGAGTTTGCTACAGCAGAAGCATGCGACAACTGTATTGCAAACATGAGCAGTAGGCGGTACGAAGGCAAGCAGATTACAGCCATCCGGTTGGATGCAGAGGAAGTTGAAACATTTGTCATCCCTCTCATTCAGAAACACAAATGAAACCAATCGAGAATGACACCAACCAACTCAGAAACGCTTGAATGGGGGAAAGAAGGAATTGTACCTTGTCCCGCCGCCTCCTCGTGCTGCTGTTGGCTCCCGGCCTGTCTGAGTGTATTGAATATTTTCTGGCCACTGATTTTCTTCAGTTTCTGTTCTTTCTCGTTGCGCCGTGTGGCCAGTAAACAGTGGAGCGGTGAAATGGAATTAATACTAAGAAAATAAATAGATATAACAACTATAACAGCAATTATAGTGAATAGCCAACACCAACAAGTACGAAACACGGCAATTATTATAAGCTCGTGTCGAGACGGCCCGTTCCGCGCTGTCTGTCGGTGGCGGTCGGCGACTGCTGTCCTTTGAATTCTACTATTTAAACATGTTTAATGACGAATGCCTTTGAACTGTTTAGTGGTTCATTTAGAGCCTTTAAACTGTTTATAATGGTGCATTTTATGCCTCTAAACAGTTCACAAGGATGTCTATGATGCCTCTAAACTGTTTAGAGATGCATTTCGTCCATAAATCGCTGGAGAAGTTCTCTCAACGTCTTCGTTTTCTTTTTTCTTCCTTTTTTCCTTCCGTCTCTCGTGTCTCTGAAAAACGACGCAAAGCCGGGGACGATGACAGAAGTGGAGAGACATAAAGACTGACACCGACGGCTAAGCAAAGGCAAGAGATAATCGTAGTAGATGGAAATAGTTAAATGGAGACCGACAGGAAAAGGCAGGTGTAGGGGGACAGGCGAAGGGGCGCGAGAACACACAGGCTGGAATATAGGAACGGGCGGACATGAACAGAGGGACAGACGCACAGGAGGAGCTGGGGTCTAGCGAATACCTGTCAATACACAGCAGAATACTTGTGGGAGTGGCGCAACGGCTACAGGTTATGGGCTGACCAAAGATATCCTAGACATAGGCAGCAATGCAGTACCATATTTTTTCTTTAGTACTTGTGTACACACACGAAGACTTAGAACCATGCAAATTTGGCAGTCTCCGTATTGTGTTACTCGTGCTGGTCTGATGCTGTTATATCTTTCGTTTTGGATATCGCTGGCCGATTCGTTTGTTTAGCTTTGTTTCGTTGGTCTTGTGCCGTTGCCTCCTATTAATCTTGTTGAGGGATTGACGGGTTTGGCACGAACAGGAGCTTGTTGACAGCCCCGAGGTGCAACGGGAATCTCTTAATATGAGCTAATGCTGCAAACATGTTTTATGTATCATGATAGATTCCTAAGAACGGGCATGAGGCAGATTAGAGTAGACCAGTACTTGCGGTGTTGGTCAGGTTGCAATCCAATTATAAAGGCTGGATATGGATGCAAAATTGAAGGTTGATGCAATTTGCAATTTCGCTCCCAGCAATTCAATACATTAAAAATCGAAGCCGGTTTGGTCTTCTGCAGTCCAGATAAGGTACAGAGCAATCAGGCTTAGTGAATTCCCATTGACTGTGGTTTCTTTTTTAAAAGTAATTAATTTAATTTAATTTCTATCGAATAGTAGACCGTAAGCCAGGCATCGGGTGCTGTTTGCCCGTTGTAAGCCACCAGATCGGAGTGACTCCTCTGAAGTATTTTCTCATATATGCGCGGGGGGAAACGCTAGCAGCAAACGAAAACAATAAATTATTTAAATCAAGACAAGCAAGCATAATTTGAAATGGATAAGCATAAGCGAGTTAAAAGGCGACCACATCCAATGCCTATCTGCAGGTGTTGGCGATTCCCTGATGGAAGGGCGGCTACGGTGGTGTGTGTGGTGTTCTCCGGTGTTCGTAGAGTGTATTTAACACTTAAATGAAAATATTTGTGTATTTAGTTTCAAAATTAATGAATTCAATTAACATTTTCCTCTATATTTTTAGCCTTTCTCCTATTTGGAATATGTGGACGACCAAAGATGAAGCGGGGGGCTGAAGGTGTTTGTTCGTTTGCTGTTTTTAGAACTTGTTTTCTTTGTTTTTATTTTATGGCACATTTGGCAGACTGTCTGCAGGGGCCCTACCTGTTTCCTCTGCTATCTGTACACCACATGTTGAGTGCTGAGCAGGTGGGTTTGTTGCTCCTTGCTACAACTCTGTCGAAGGCAGTCATTGGTTTCCTTTTGGGCGTGTTTTGTGATGCATGCAGCAGCCCCGGTCTAGGTTGTGTTATTTATTTCTGTTTTTCCCTTGTTTCTTCCTTGCTTTCACGTTCTTCCTCTTCCTTAGCTGCTCTGGTTGCGGCGAGGGTGTTCGGAGGAACAGCAACAGGTTTGTTGGAGACAAGCTTCGAAGCATTTGCTGCTTTTACCACCATCAGTGTTTACAAGCAGCAGCATCAAACCCTCAAGCAGACCCTCGCATGGCTGACTGCAGCAGGAGCCGCCGCAGCAATCGCTGCAGGCATTACTGCTGCTGCGGCTGTGCATGTGGGGGGATTTACTGCTCCCTTTTTTATTTCTGAAATCGTTTGCTGGCTTTGTCTCGGAGCTTACATCCTCTGTAGAGCAACAGGCGTACATGCACCTCAAGTTACACCCTTACAGCAGATATCTTCTCCCCCGTCAGGTATTGCCATCGTTGTGGACACGAAATTCTTTTCTTTTTCCGAACTTTACTTTTCGTTTCTTCCTTCTAATGGACCCCTAGTCCACGAACCATTTTTGCACTCGTTCGTTTGTATTGTTTTCCTCTTGTTTGCTGCGTTGATAAGTGAACAAACCTGTGTTGTTTTCCCTTTGTTTTAGCACGTTTCTTCTCTCTTCACTCCTTTGAATCTGGAACGCTCCCTTTGTGTGTTGTTTTCTTCATGTTTTTATCTCCTCACCTTCCCTTTGTCTATTAAATTTTTTATGTTGGTTTCTATCGAGTCCAAACAAGGAAAACAGATGGGTGTGCCCCCAGCAATGGCAGTCCTGGCTGGTGTAACTTGTCCTACCTAGGTTTCTCATGTTTGGCATTGCTTGTCCTCTTCTGTAGCTCCAGATCTTCTGCCCTTTTCTCTCCGTCCTCGTGTCCGTCCCCAAATCTGCATGTCTGCCTTTCTCTTTGTCTCTCTGTCTGTCTACATAGAACTCCCCGTCTGTCTCCTTGTGTGTTTGTGGGACTGGTATTTTTCCCATTCTGGCTCTTTTGTTGTACTGGGTTTTTATTGCCTTGTCCAGTCTTAGGTGTTCTGATTGTATTGTTTAAACCTTTTGTCGTCCTGTGCTGTGTGTGCTGTGTTTGGTTTGCTCTACAGGGTTGTTGGGCTCCTTTTCGATTTCGAGAGGCTTGCCGTATATCATTTCTTCTTTCGTCTCGTTGCTGGCATCTGTTGTTCCTGCTGTGTGTTTTTGCTTTTCGTTCCTGCTGCGTAACACCGCCGCCTGTCTTTCTGTACTGCTGCAACTTTGTTTTGAGTCTTCTCTGGAGGTTTTTGTTTTGTTTTGGCCTCTGCTCCTCATTGATCTCAACTCCACTCAATTCACCTACTTAGCCTTAAACCAACAGACTTCAGCAATATACAAAGGCAAGCAAACAAACGATGCGGCAGACGCACTGCTGCTCTGGGAGCAGAGAGGAAATGGGGCAAGCCTACAGAACCATTTCCACAAGGCATTGAAGCCAGCAGACAAGCTCGTAAATTCTTCCTTTCCTTCTTCTTCGACTTCTTCCTCCTATTTCAGTCCTTTGCCTCTGGGACTCCTCTTCTCCTGTATGATGGGTGCTGTTGCCATGGGCTCATTTCTCTTCAACTTTGTAAGAAGCGAATTAATCCTCTGGGTGAACTGTTCCACCGTTTTATTTGACGTGTAGTTTTTATCTTTAAATGTTTCGGGTCCCGCAGTTTAGTTCATTTTAGCTGTTGTGGTTTCTGCAGTTGAGGGGAAAACGATGTATTTAGTCTCCCTGCTCCTCTGTTTCTTTCGTATATCCCGTACATATAAGTCATCACGTTTTTCATGCACCATCACGCACCCCCGAGTCAGCTGTTCTTGATGTTGATTGTGGCTCTTGGAGCGTGCTGCTGTTGCTGCCAATTTATGCTCCAGCTGTTTGCTGCGGCGGTTGGTGCGTGCAATTGTTGCTACTAAGTGCTGTTGCTGATTATTGGGGTTGCTCTGTTTGCAGTTGTGCTGTTATTCTGTAGTGATCTTTCAATTCCTGTAGTGTTGGTGCTATGTAGCGGCTACTGTTTTTTGAGCAGCCGTTGCTGTTGCTTTTTTTAATATTGTTGATTGCTGCTGCTGATGCCGCGTTGTTTCTGTCTAGCTGCTAGTGCTGCTATGGATCTTCAACATAACGCAAGTTGGCAAGAAAATGGATTGAACAGCATTCACTCACACCAGCAAATACACCCGCAGCAGCCTCTCTTGTTCTGCTCCGTTTCTTCTGCAGGCGTCGACTCGTCTGCGTTTGCCGCTCCACTTGATTATTCCTGTCTCCTTTCTTGTCGCATCGTTCTCTTTGTTTCTTTGTCTTTCCGCCGCAACTCCCCTTCAACTTTTTTCATTCTACTGTCTATTCGAAGTAAGTATCAATAGCAGTCTGAAGAAGAGAATTCAACTTTTGACGCATCCGGTCAAGACCTTCGCAGTGCAGAATAGAGCCACAGCCACTACCAGAAGTGTGCATACAGCATGTAAACTGTACATCAATGGTCCCCTACATGCACTGAATGCATTTATGCGTATTGGATATTTTTAGTATTCACTTGCGAATAAAAAATGTTGACTCTATCGTTTCTCTTGTGAACTCTTTCCCAAGCATCATTGTGCCTAATGCCAACTGCAACATCAATATACATAGTACAACAAAATACAGTGTATGCAAACCTTCCCTAAAGTAGTATATACCGGTTAGCATGTGGCCATTATTTGCCTCATCTACCTCCCGTATGTTGCACTTTTTGTGTCTTCCTTGGCGCATTCCCTCTGACTATGTCACTTCCTACACTAGCTATTAGAACAGCATTATATATATATATATATTATATAT